GTGTGTGTGTGTGGTGTGTGTGTATCCTCCCCGCAGGTGAAGGAGGCCATTCTAAACGATGAGAACTACTGTCCCCCGGAGACGGCCGTGCTGCTGGCCTCCTACGCTGTCCAGGCCAAGTATGGAGATTACAGCAAAGACGTTCACAAGCCGGGCTACCTGGCCTCCGACCGGCTACTGCCACAACGGTACGGTGTATACACAGTACTCAAAGCAGTCAGGATAAAAGTGTTAATGTACACAAATAGTAAAAGTGTGTTTATGTCTCGCAGAGTTCTGGAGCAACACAAGCTGACAAAGGAACAGTGGGAGGACAGAATACAGACCTGGCACGAGGAACACAGGAGCATGCTCAGGTCAGAGACGACTGTACTGTCAATCAAGCTTTTAACACTTTGGCTCCAGGATCCTCAGTTCCATGTCGTGACCTTTTGTGTCTGTGCGTGTGTGCAGGGAGGACGCCATGATGGAGTATCTGAAGATCGCTCAGGACCTGGAGATGTACGGCGTCAACTACTTTGAGATAAAAAACAAGAAGGGTACGGAGCTGTGGCTCGGGGTCGACGCGCTCGGGCTCAACATCTATGAGCATGAGGACAAGTAATCAAAACACAAAAACACACAAATTTCTCAAACATTTGATCTGATTGGTCGGGTTTCGTTGTTTTCTTCCTTACGTTATAAAACTGAGATCGTGAGATGATACACAGAGAAAATAAATATATAAAAAGTATTTCTCACTTTACTGAACTCTTGTGAATTATTGAATAGTTGGATTTCTTAAAGCCTCATGAAAAAAAAAACATAATTAAAAATGTAAGACTTTGCAAGTCAGTGAGTTAATGTGTGAGCAGGCGTCCTGGAATCACTGGTTCAGCTGATGTGATCAGAAGCGAAGCTGAAAAGTGATATCAAAGAGGAAGTAAATGAAACCACGAGAGAAGCTGCTGCCCATGACTCACAGTTTATTTCAGGTTCTCTGATGCAGTTGATGCAGAGAGCTGATAACTGCGTCTCTGTGTCGAGGAATTCATTCTTAAAAGGGTCAATGAATCCATATTTTAATCTTTTGATCATCCGCATTTTTTGCTTCCAAGTCCAAAGAATATTTGGAATATTCTATCCGCTGCCAGTCTGGTACAAAAGCGCAGAACTTCTACCTCAGCTAAATTATATATATAAAAATAAAGACATTTACATTTTTCCTTCTCCTTCATGAATTGTATTAGTTTGACAACAGAGCCCCCTTGTGGTGTTGGACAGCATAGCAGATGAAGACCATGGAACACTAAGGCTTTTTTCTCACACCTAAAATCATTTCTTGAAGTTTTTTAAAAAAGTTTACTCTCACAATCTGTCGCGTCCTCAGGTTGTCGCCAAAGATCGGTTTCCCCTGGAGTGAGATCCGAAACATCTCCTTCAACGACAAGAAGTTTGTCATTAAGCCCATCGACAAGAAAGCTCCAGTAAGTGATGGATTGATCGTGATTTTCTTTTAGATTCAGATTTTTGAACGATAATCCTTTACGCCCGTCCTCTGTGCTTCCTTCAGGACTTTGTGTTTTACGCTCCTCGGTTGCGCATCAACAAGCGCATCCTGGCGTTATGTATGGGAAACCATGAGCTGTACATGAGGAGGAGGAAGCCCGACACCATCGAGGTGCAGCAGATGAAGGCTCAGGCCCGAGAGGAAAAACACCACAAACAGATGGAGAGGTACGAGCTCACGCTGCTTCTCACTTATTGAGACTAGAAGAGACGTCTTTAAAAAATGTTTCCCTGCTGGAAATCACAGTGTTTAAAGTGTTCGTTTTCATGATTTGCTTTTTGTTTCTGGGATTCATGTTCACACTGAGTCAATGAACAAATAATAGTTGATGTTTAAAGTGGAAATTCATTGAAAACTCTTCGTGTGAGCGATAGGGGGCAGTGCTGCGTTAAAGAACATCCTGCTTCACTTCTGCAGAGATGAATCTGCAGCATGCTTTAAATGTCAGTGGGTGAAATATGATTGTGTGTACTTGTATGTGTGTGTGTTGCATTCTGATTTAAATCCATCACTCCATACACTGTACCAAATAATGCATGTTTATATTACTGATGCACGTGTCCATCAGTGTGGGGGGGGGAAGTTAAACAGAAAGTTAAAACTTCTAGATGATGTCACCAAACCAATTCTGTGTTTCGCTGATGCAGAGCGCAGCTGGAGAACGAGAAGAAGAAGCGAGAGCACGCGGAGAAGGAAAAGGAGCGAATAGAGAGAGAGAAGGAGGAGCTGATCCAGAGGCTGAGGCAGATCGAGGAGCAGACTCAGAGAGCTCAGAAAGGTACGACAAGAAGAGAGCACATCATGCTCCTCCCTCAGCCGGCCTCCATGCACGAACAAGAGGATGAAGCTCTCTTCATATCAGAAAACATGTCAGACACTTTCACAGCTGCAGGAAAAAAACACATGGATTTCGTTCTTTTCCCCAAATTAACGTCTGCTCCTTTCGTCCCGAGGTATCCTGTTGTCTGTTGCATGTTAGAAACAATCACCAACTCTTGCTCGTTATGAACCCTCATGAATTGAATGCACCTATATGCTTGTATCCGCTTTGGATAAAAGCGTCAGCTCATAATGAATTTACTTGCATTTGTCCCAATCACACGGCCACACTGGTTGTGAATGGTATGCAACTCATATTTTTCTGTGTGTGTTTGTGCAGAGCTGGAGGATCAGACTCGCAGAGCGCTGGAGTTGGAGCAGGAGAGGAAGCGAGCGAAGGAGGAGGCCGAGCGTTTGGAGAAAGAGAGGCAGGCGGCGGAGGAGGCCAAGGCGTCGTTGGCTCAGCAGGCGGCCGACCAGATGAAGAACCACGAACAGCTGGTACTGATGTTTATGTCCAAGTGAAAATGACTTTTATATAATGCTTTTCTCATAAAACGAGAATAAAAGGAAGTTGCTGATTCTGCCTGGGTCATATTATTGTGAATTGTTTGTGCATTTGAGTTTTTAGATGAACTTTTGCGTTTATTTTCAACAGGCTGCTGAATTAGCGGAGTTCACTGCTAAAATCGCTCTGCTGGAGGAGGCCAAGAGGAAAAAAGAAGAGGAAGCAACAGAGTGGCAACACAAAGTAGGTGTCAAATGTTTGTGGGTTAACATCTGTAAACGTCTGTGTCGGTTTCTCTCTGTGAATTTGCACATGTGTTGTTTCCAGGCTCTTTCAGCACAAGATGACCTGGAAAAGACCCGGGAGGAGCTGAAGTCGGCCATGACGTCTCCACCGGCGCCGGAGGACGACGAGCACGACGAAACCAACGCCGAGGCGAGCGCCGAGCTGCTCAGCGACGGCGTCACCAGCCACCGCAGCGAGGAGGAGCGCATCACTGAGGCGCAGAAGAATGAACGTGTCAAGAAACAGCTTCAGGTAGAGCAGGAGCGTGAAAGTCATTTAGAAAACATCCAGCGAAGGGGAAGTAAACTGAGGTGAACTGTTCGTACTTCGCTATTTTATCTTTCAAATCTTGACGAGCTGCTGGACAAGCACACACCTGCTGTAAATTTGCCAGAAGAGAAGCGGAGGCCACGAATCACAGAGTGTCGGCGGTTTGTAGAGCAAATAGAGACGAAAACACAAATCACTCTCCAGGGAATAAAAAAAGAAATAACAGCTGCAGCGTTTTCAGTAAAGAGAAGAACAGCTGTACCACATATTGTTGAAAAAAAAGAGAGTTTGAGAATAACAGCATCAGATCCTAAAGATACTTGTGAACAAACTCATACTGAGTTTTACATGTTTTACTGAAATACATTTCCCATAAAGTTTTAACACACAAAAATCACAATGTTCAACTTTGATTCTTTTTTTATTCTGTTCTATAATCATGATTATTTTTCTGCTCAGAAACACAAAATCTCATAAAGAAGTTTTTAATTGGTCAACCTTTCTCTCTGTGTGTCTGTCCAGGCTCTGAGTTCCGAGTTGGCCGAGGCCCGTGACGACACAAAGAAAACTCAGAACGACATGCTGCACGCCGAGAACGTCAGGGCGGGAAGAGACAAGTACAAAACGCTGCGTCAGATCCGCCAGGGTAACACCAAGCAGCGCATCGACGAGTTTGAGTCCATGTGAGGGGGGAGGGTGGACACAACGGCGTCAACGCATCACTTCCCTCGTGAAGCCCGACACCTGCAGGAGCTCCTGCTGTGGTCCTGTCAGGAGAAGGAACAACCAGCTGACGGGCTTTGTAGCTTCAGCCTCGCCAAAGCTCTGCCGAGCAGCGGTTAGCCAATCACACAGCGACCTGCTTTTTAGAGCGCCGCCCCCCCCCCCTGCCCTGACCCCAACGAAGCACGTCTTTTAATCGGTTGGAAATATAGCAAGCGACGTATTCTGTCAACCACGGACTCCTCCCTTTTACAATACTGACAATATTAATGCTTGCATGTCCGATAAATAAACAGCAACAGGAGCGTTAGAGAAAATGCGACCGCACAGAATTGGCTGAATTTTACCCAACAAAAAAGAAAAAAGGCCGTTTGTAGCGTTTTGATGTTGCTGGCACACTCGTCCGTTAAGCTTTAATATCTGTACCTTACTTTTATTTCTTTGTAATCAGTTGAATTTAAATAATTTGTTTAAAAAAGTTAAAAAGAAAAAGGAAAGCGCCTCACTCGTCTCTTTTCCTTCTCATCTTGTCACCGTCTGTCATTTTGTGCAGGGCCAAGGTTCCTGTTCAGCTGTGAGCGTCATCCATCTGTTCATGTTGCATCAGCTGATTTATCTCCAGTTTGCGAACGCTCCCTCTGGAGATTTATGAGCAAACACACATGAAAAACTAAATGTGCTTGTTTTTAATGGTGAGGCGTTTTGTTGAAATAATTTCAAACAGTGAAATTATTAATAAACGCCAAATTTCACCACGTTATAAAAAGTGAAAACCTGGATCTGCTCTGATCGTCTCTGACTTGACACCACATCCTTCCGCTAAGTTTCGTGGTTTTCAGTTTATTTGTGATCGTGTTGACAAACAAACAAACAAACAGTAAAACCCCCTCGGCAGAATAAAACCAGGACAATGCGACACGTGAAAGCTTGAGTTGGGCTTTTATTGCTCGTTTTTTTACATCACACACAAGAACAGTCAACACGTCTCATTTGGCCTCAGTTTCTGTAAATATGACACAAGTTTGTTTGTCGTGAACAAAACATACAAAGTGATATTTTCTTACATACGATGAATTAGTTTGGGTAAAGTCACTTCAATGGATTTCATTTGAATTTCAAGTTTGTTTTTTTTCTTTCTTCTCCTATAATGGATTATTTATTTGGGCTCGACGCATCATAATATTGCTCATCAGACTTAAATATTTGTGTTCAATATTTTTAACACAATTTTACTTTAATACACCTTCTGAATCAGCACAGTACATAAGACAGCTTTGGTTTTAAATAATTACCACTGACCTGAGAACAGGGGGAAACATTTGAATTTTTTTTTACTTTGGTCCCCAAAGAAACAGCACTTCAATAATTTCTACAGCAGAACTGAAGCTGTATTAAAGCACATTAGAAATAAAAGTGGGAATGTACTGAAATAAACTGGGACGTTGTCAATATTTTTACATTTAACTTCTCATTGGATTAAAAAAAGCTGTATATAAGGCCGACTTAGTCATATGAGCAACAAATTACAACAAAGCAGAGTTGTATCTGTGAAAACAGTGAATAATTAAATACAACAGGACAGAAGTTCATGTCTGAGTAGCCATCGGATTTAGAGCTGAACTTAGTTTTCTCCCCCTAATCTGTTTCCATGAGAGTCGAACTTTTCACACAGAAATAAATGAGTTAATAAGGAAAGTGATGTAGTGGCAGGTGAGAGTCTTTAACTCCACGGTACTGCAGTTTTATACGACTTAAGTACAAGTACAAACAAATATGAAGTGACATTTCTGAAGAAAAGTCAAAAGGCCTTTTTCACTGAGGCTATATTTACTTGTCACAGTGAGTTAAACCTTAAATTAATGATACTTGAATTTAATTTCACACTTATTACTATATATTTAGGTCAAGTTAATCAGGATATGCAGTTTATTTGTCTTAACCTGGTTCACATCAGAATATTGGTGTCCATGTAAACGTGTCTAGCGTGCTGGGATTGTGCAGGACATCAAACTCATCTTCAACATTAACACCTGAACCTCCACGACCTCACACTGACTGAAAAAGGTGAGAAACTGCAGGAGAGCGACTGAGATTTTTGAGGTCAGCCCAAGACAAACAGTTTCACTTGATCTCACACACGTTACGCGCAAAAGCAAAACAAACAGGTGACGTCTGCATCACCGCTGCTGAGAGATTTGCTTCATGTTTCCGTCTGAACTCAAGTTATTACACCGGCACGCTCAGCGAAGTGTGCAACACTGTCGATGACGACAAGGACCTCGCAGACAAACACATACAATTTAGAAAAATAGCTCTTTAAGGTCATGACAGTAGAAAAATAGGTTTTTTCCCCCTCATGCACTAAATATGTCATTGTAATTAATATGCAGTGTTAACACAGCACCTGGTTTGTTTAGTTCAAATGTCGAGTGTCTCGTCCCCGAAGCAAACAGCAGCACACGGTGCCACAGCAGCAGGACAGGGGGAGCACCTGATCACAGAAACTGAAGCAACAGGGACGACTGCAGACTTGTTCCTGAGAGCGACACCTGTCATTGTGGTTGAGGTGTCGCTAAACATCTGGAGCCTGAGGCACAAATTCCAAAAGATGAACCACGTTAATTAAAACACTCTCAACTGTCTTGGCTCTAAGAGTGTTAAATACTGCGGTGTATGAACTTAAGAAGCCTCAGTTTTCCTCACAACCACATCGTTAAACACATCTAACGCCGGTTATTTTCAGCGTCATATAGCAAAAGGGGAATAAAAAAGCCCCCCCCCTCATATAAATAAAGTCTAAATACCAAAGGTGACAAAGTTTGCCACAAATACTCAACATTTTCAACTCGAAATATTTTTTGTTTAAATATTCTCATATAAAACAATGATCTTGTTTAATTAAAAAGTTTATAGGATACAATTTGTATCAACGAACAGAGGTGTCATCTGGCTACAGAGATATGATGCAGACCAGGGCAGAGTTTTGTCTTTACAAACAGTTCCTCGCACATTACAACAATCCCATTGGCGGAAATAATCATACAACTATTCCAGACAATAGATGCAGCCCAAAGTGCTTTACATTGGGAGAAGGAAACTTTATAATACTTTCGAAGAGAAGGCAGATAAATAAGAGGAAGTTGTTAAACAGATGAGGAATTGTTCCCCAACAGTCTTTAATGTAATGTGAAAGATATCGCTGTGTAAGCGTTTCTATATATAGCCTATTTCAAAGTTCGTATTAAACCCATAGACTGTAAAGATGATCGACAAACAATGGCGTTAAAATATCTCACATCCAGGTGGCGCCGTTTTGCACTTTTCAAGGGGGAGGGGTTTATGACTGCAGCCAGCCACCAGGGTGCGATCAAGGTGATTTGGCTTCACTTAAGGAGAGCTGTTATGTCGGCCATCTTTATTTACAGTCTAGGGTTAAACCAGGGAGTTTTAATTGAACCACTGAGATTAGTAGTTCCTCCAGGTGAAGTTTAGTGTTCCCACTAATTCACTTTTTAATTTTTTAGTTTTTTAGTTTTTCCCAGATTCCTGGCTTCTCTAACAGAACGGTACATGAGAGTGAGACCCTGCAGGAGGCAGCTACACTCTCCACTCGTGTGTCCGACATTCACACACGTTAAAAAGTTAAATTAACACATATTTCAGAATAGAATTAATGAAATGTTACCGACAATCTTCCACCTAAAACATTTCTGGGGACCATGCTTTTGACAGTCACTCTGATGTGACTTTAATTTAAAGGATGGGAGACGAACAGAGGGCTGGTTATGGGGGTAAAAAAATCCACCCTGAAAGCTGACGTGAAGTCAGCTGAAAGAGCTGAACGGTAACGGAGGAAATAATTCCAAACAGCTCAAGTTTTTCGACCGGACTTTTCGCCCTCTTCTTCTTGTGGTTGCTGCAAAGTTTCACTTCCCTGTCGGGGGAAATCCACAAAATATCAACAGCGCAGCTGATCTGCCACCTGTCAGCGTGAAAAAAACAAGAAGAAAACAACACAGTAGGAATGTATTTTACGATGAGGCAGAGACGATCAATGTTGTCGTCTCCATCTCTCACAGATGTCATGGACGAACTTGAGCAGAACTTGATATGATTGCCCTCCCTCCCCCCAAAAAAACATGAACAAAAAGTGCCAAAAACATAATAAATTTAAAATATGTAAATAACTTAAAATATAACAAATAAATTAATTCAAACTGAACAACACTGTCACCCTTACACATGAAACGCTTCCCTAAGCACACTGGTGTCTTAAGTGCTGGAATTCAACATATAGAAAAATATGGCAATTTTCGGATTTCCCTTTACAAAAATACCATTAAAATTAATGACTCAACTTCCCTGCAGTGAAAACAAGCCGTCCATAAGCATTGCCGGCTTAAGGAGCCTTACATCTTATTGGTTCTGGCTTATGTGTGTCCAACCTGACGTAAATATATTAAGATAATTGCAGGGGATGACTCTGCAGAAGTGACCTCAGTCAGGACAAAGCTGTAACCTCATCCTCTCGGCTAAATTTGCGATTTCTCCATCAAAATTGCAGCTGCGAGCTCCTGAGCATCCATCACATGAGGGTTTCTGGTCATCACCATTCTCACTAAATCTGGAGGGAAGATGCCACACAAGTTAACAAACATCCTCTCTCTCAGGTCCTGGTATCGACCCAGGTTGGGGGGCTCCTGGTGCTGGGGCAGTGGGGGCAGGTGGCTTTTGTGGGGAGAGATGGACGTGAGGGACAACTGCGGGAGCGGTGGAAGACTTGATGACGAGAGGCCGCGGGGCGATGAATGAGCTTCCCTCCCCCTGCTCTGCAAGGTGAACAGATCATAGCATGGCTTAGGCGACTGCTGGTATTGGGGCTCCCAGTTTATGTGCGGCAGTGGTTGTTGGTTTAGGGAAGTGTAGTTTCTTCTGGAATGAAGTGGTGACCCTTCATACACTCGGGAGTCCGGGAAACCACCATCCTGCCAAAGGGAGCCCATCAGATTTCTGCCAAGCGAGGAGCTCTGAGAATGGGGGTGAGCAGGAGATGTTTGGGGTGGGCATCGTGGACTAGCTGGCAATTCCCCTGGAAAACTGCTCAGTGACGGATGCCGAAGGTGGGGTGCAACATAGGCTGAAGGGCTTTTGAAAGGATGTGGAGATGCGTGACAAGTAACAGAAGGTGAAGGGTCTTCCAAACCAAAACCATGTTGTCTTTGCAAAGCTAAAGGAACGGGATAGCCATGAGGAGCACGTTGGCCCAATCCAGGTGGGACACGACTTGTAGGATGGGGGTACTGGCCAGAGCAGTGATGATGGTGATGAGGATGGTGGTGGTGATGGTGGCACTTGGGGCCGTCATCTAATAAGGGGTCAGGGGAGAAAGAGTCCGAGCTGACGCTGCCTTCGCTGCTACAATCTGACAGCATCGATCCTGCTCGCAGATCAGCTGGGAAGAAGCATTCAAGACTTTGTGGCACAACCAGATTGAGGCCTGAATATGCCTTTGCCAGTGAGCTGTAGCCCACCTCCGGAGACTCACATCTGTGGTAAGTGTCGGGCTGACTTGGTCCCGAGGCCCCAGCAAACCTGGAACTGCCTCCACCGCTACCCCCAGGGTATTCCCATTTGTCCAGGTTTCCTAATGAAGTAGGTGCTCCTGGAGCAGGATACCCTAAAAAGTTGCTGCTACAATTACTGCTGCTGCTGCTGCTGCTGCCCCTCCGTCCTTCCACTTTGGACTGGACCCGAAGCCGATCCTCCAGGAGGTCACTGAACGAGCTTCGTGGGCTGGGGTTTGGCCGTTTCTTTGGAGTGCCCTGACTTGGCTCGGCCTCAGCCATTCTGTGACCTTGACCAGGACTTTGGCTCTTTATCATCAGGGTGTCTTCCAGCAGGCCTCTGGAAGTCACTGATGAAATTTTGGCACTGGCTCGGAGCTCATCAGCCACAGCACGCTGGGGCTGGCTGCCCCTTTCAGGATGGTAAAACTTGCACTTGTGACCATATGTGCACTTCTTCCCTACAAGAAGAAAAAAGAAAAGTTATGATTAATGTGCGACATGTTTGTGGAAAGTATTTGTTTCTTTTTTAACTTGTATTATTTCACTGCTCTTGAGCAAAGTCATTATCTCTAGTATTAAAATACTGAGTGTTCATATTATTTTTAGAGGCTGTTACATGAATAGATATTTTACCATAAGGGCACGGCTGCTTCCTGTGAATAACAGGCCTCTTCCTTAGAAAGTTGTCCAGACTGGGTCCATGACGTCCTAGTGGGTCATCTGGTGGCATGAATCTAAAAACACACAGTTAATGGGTTAAAATGGTGGTAAACCCCACATTTTCATCATGCATCAGTGAGGATTCATCGACACTAACAGCCGCAACAGAGGCTGCATCTCGGATATGCTGCAGTGAGGAACCCTAATGATGCCTGTATTCAATGTTTGGGATCATAATACATTGCCTGTGCCTGCTAATTTTTACAGTGCATTCAAATGCCAAGTGAAACCAAATGCTTGGTGATCTGAGCTGAAAGAACAAAAGCTCAAACGCTGAAAAAGATAGTATCTACGGCGTAAAGAGGGGATTTGATCACTGGAGCAAAAAGTAAAAGAGAAGTGTTGAGGAAATGAAAGTGTCTGATAAGTAAAAGAGACATTCTCAGATATTTGCCCTGCAAGAAAATATTGGCTGCAACAATGGATTGTTAAAGTGCATTTTAGTGTCGGGGCACAAACTGGTTATTTCTTGGACGTAAACTAAAGATTTTGAAGTCAAAGCATTTCTGAGTCTCTTACTTGTCATTGACAAAGGAGTACATCAGCAGACGCTCATCGATGAATTTCTTCCACTCTGGCTTCTCATTGGCAAGGTCGCGGTAGTTGTCGTTAGAGACAATGATGCCATCGGACTCGTAGGCCAGTTTGACGATGAAGCGGTCGTCATAGCAAACCACACGACGCCCCTGCACACGTCGAGATGGAGTGAAAACCAGGATCTTCTCTTTCTCTAGTTGCCTCAAGATCTCCTGGTCTGAAGAGAGAGAGAGGATGTGATGGTAAATCAGAGAGGATAATAAATTAATCACAAAGCACATTTTCTTTCTAAAAATTGAAAGCTACCTGTGATGAGAGCGTCGGGCCGTGACTGCTCTTTTCTCCAGGCAGGAACAAAAACAGTGATGTCACGGTGACCTCGTTCTAAGAACCAATCCACAGCCAGCTGGATGCCTTGACACGAGAACACTTCCTTATTTCCGTGACTGCAAGAGCAGATAGAACATGTTAAAGGCAAATTCAGTAAGATAAAGGTAAACAAAGGAGTTTCCCAAACTGCATGGTACAGAGCCTTGGATCCAAAGCTCATAATGTTACAAGCGTCTTTCAGACGTTTTTAACAGAATGTCACAGAAAAAATATTTTCTCACTGAACATCTGTGCCTCTGTGGTTTTGATTACAGCCATGGTCCACTGGTTGAGGAATTTTTGTTACCCATATACTTCCTATGTCTTTAACCACAGTATTGTAATCAGAAGATGTAGATAAATGCCACACATATTTGGCAAAAGCTGACTTCCCCAAATAAGCTGACAGGGAAACTCTAAGATAATAATAACTTGAAAATAGATCATGTTAGTGAATAATAACCATTCTTTGACTGTATCAAACTAAGAGTTGTCATCATCATGTGAAACCTCCAAAACCTCAAAAAGCTTCTCTTCCTCACCTCATGGCTACATTGCTCCCGTCCACCACAACAGGCCGAAGGTTTTCTTTGTCCTCCAGCAGCTGGGACGGACACAGCAGCCGACATGAGTCCAGAGAGGAGCTAAAGGAGGAGGAGGAGGAGGTGGAGGAGGAGGCCAAAGAGGATGATAAAGATGTGGAGGGAGACTGGGAGACAGTCACACCTCCGTGCTGCTCCATCTCTGTCTTGGTTCCCAGTTTGACCAGCTCTCCCAGGACGTCATTAATGAGTGCGTGTGTGCCCAGTTTCCTCAGCACCAGCAGCACAAGCTCCTCGGAGTAACCGAGCTTGAGAGCAAACTCCACCTTGGTGCGGCAGTCAGTGACGGGGTCGGTCGGAGCTGATGTTTCTGGCTGTGTCAGGTCCAGCCTGACCGGCTGACAGGCAGTGGAGGACTCTTGGTGGTGTAGGTGAGGCTGATCTCGATGAGGATTTTGAAATTCGGACCGATTCTGGATTCGCTCATCTTCACTGTCGGATACTGCACTCTCCTCTGAGAAATTACTGCAACTACTGCTGCTGCTATAGCTTGAGTGAGTACTAAAACTAGTACCACTACTACCTATACTGTTGTTATGTGAGGAATCAGCTCTGACCTGCGAGATTCCTACATTCCCTGCATCGGTTGCGGTGCTCAGACTCCCCTGACGCTCAGCACCTTCCACATGTAGGTAGTCCAGATCCAGCTCCAGGCTGAGGATGTGGCCTGTCCCATCCTCCAGATGGTCCTTCAGGCCCATGAAGCCGTCTCATACATCCAGCTCCACGCCCTCCGTGACCTCCCGGGCACCTAGGCGACCCCACCGTTACTGCAGATGGTTTACAGTTCCCTGGGAGTGAAGCTTGAGGGAGAAACAAGAAAGGATGGTTAAGTTATGGAGAACTGCATTCAAGTGGAAGTATGCAAGAAAAGCTGCCCATCCTGTTTAAAGCTCACCTCACTCTGCTCAGATTATTCTGCAAAACACCTACAGACAACCTCTTCTTCTAACAAGGACAAAGCCTTTTGCAGCATCGTTTCCCTGCACCCAGGATCCACCATGACCCAGCTCCACCCATATAGTTTGCATATTGAGATCTAACCACACAACTGACAAAACAAGAACATTTACTCACACCCCAAGGATACATAAGTGAATTTCATTAGGTCTATTGGCTGCACCACCTCTAATGATTTGCATTTTAGCAGCTCAGACCTGAGACAAGTGACTGCAAACCTCACCTGTCTTGGCATCGTGTCTTGGCCAATATTCAACAACATTCAAAACCTTGTGGTTTCGCTCATTCATGATGAACACGTGAAGAAGACACCTGACCCCGGCTGCAATTTAAGTTACAAACCCATTCTGCTGATACAGAAAGAGCACGATTCAGCCTCTTCCTGGGTTATCAAATAATCTAAAGTGTTTTAAAACCTACAGGTCTTGAGGATCAAAAAAAATGCTTCTGATTGTATTAACTAACTAAGATGTCCCTTCTTGAAATCACACAGTCATAATGTAAAAGGTTCAAAGCAGTTTGAACTAATATCAAAATACTCGTAGTAAAGTTCACCTGTGAAACTCAATCAGTCTTTGAAGCATAAAACACAAGACGTAAGTTTTCCAACCCTAACGTCAAGACAAAGCTGTGGTTTCCACTTCAGTGTGAAAGTGAATGAAGCCGTAATGATCCTTTGGACCCGTTTTCTCCACAGAGTGACCTGCTGCCCTCGGGGGGGTCCACGCAGCGGCTGAAACAAAGAGCGATCTGCTGCTGTGGGAAATTGCTCAGTGACCCCTTAAAAAAACAACATGTGTTGTTCCTTTGCTCGCTCATCGCCACAGTATTAAGGGCACACAAACACACACACATGAAAACACACAATTAAATAACCTTACTTTACAAAGGGTTCCTTTAAGCGTTCTTTGTAATCAGTTCTACTTTCAGTTTTGTTTGTTTGATGCATAATTAAGTACAAGATCAGGCCTTTTGTTCATTGTGTTGCAGATTATCTAAAATATGAACAAAGTACTCATTCTTTCAGTCGCCTATACTTGCAAAAAAAACCTGTTCTTTATAGACGGTTTTGCAGACATCAGCTGACAGTGAAGTTGTGTGATACCTGGAGTCTATATATCACCTGAGATCACTGGTACGATGTGAAAAGAGAAAGTGCTCGACTGGAAATAACCTCAAAGGGACGTCCACGGCATCAAACTGCTCTCAGGACTGTCAAAAAACGATTTTGAAATGTCTCAGCTTTGTTCCTGCTCACTAATACAGGGAAAGTACACACGGGGGAAATTGTGAGTGAGGCAGCAGAAAATAAAGTGGATCCACGTGACTTCACTGAAGAACAGCCACCGTGGCCACAAGCAGCGATAATTACTTTAATGTGGTTTTGAGATAATCAGATACTGGAAAAATTGACAAGATCACTTTGTCAAGTCAAACCTGAACTCAGAAGTTGGGGGAAATATTTGTGCATGGGTTTCAAAGCTGCTGATGTAAATGCTTATAAACCAATTAACATATTTTAAATAGTAGCTTTTAGAATTAAATTGTCAAATGTTAACTTTGTCACTTGCAATGTTCATCTCACAGAAGCACCTAAAATCTTGTTAAACCAATACAGACGTTTTAATGAGTGACATGCATAAGTTTTAACTGCTCCACCTGATCCTTTTCTTTGCTCTTTGTTACTATGCAGATATTCCAGAGATGTGTCGAGGCTTATTCAAATCCTCTAAACGCACAAATTCATGACAGGTTGTTTCCAGCATCGTGTTTTTTCCACTTTCTGACGTCACAGCACATGAACACACCAGAGATGGAACCTTGACTTCACAACTCAGGCAACTCGGGCAGATTGAGAGGTTTTCCATGATTCCTCTTTTAATAAAATCATTTTCCTTTTGTTAATCAGGTGCGCGGACTCGGAGCGAGAGGAGAATGGAGAAACAGGCAAGAAACAGCAAAATGTGTGTCCTCTTAACTCGGGTTAACCCTAAACTTTGGTCAAGTTTTTACCATGAATTAATTCAAACTTCAAAGCTTGAATGTCTGTTTTCTGCACTTTGGGCCTTAGAAAAACAAAACATCTGCCTTTGACAAAATATTTGAGGCCTCCAGCACTAACAGTGGAATTGTTCCGATTAGAAATGCTTTGTATTTCAACTTGTCACTAAGAAGAGGACGTTTGCTTGACTGGAATAAACATTACTCAAAACATTATTCCGTGCAGACTTGTTTTTATCCACCAGACTCTGTGTGGTTATATTTCAGAGACATGTAGTGAGAAGTTTCTTAGATGTGGGGTTAAAGTGCTGCAGAGTAGGGGCCTCTTTATGTCCCGACTCCTCGTGTCTAAGCTGCCGCGCCGCTGTTTGTCAGCCTGAATGCCACAAGAGAGCTGGAATAATTTAGTCCGCCAACAACAAAAGAGGCACAAAAGGAAGGAGTGAGAGTGTGTGTGTGTGTGTGTGTCAGGGGGTTGGGGAAAGAAGTGTGTCTGGCTTGCCGTCCTTCAACAATGCAGCTGCCACCCAATCTGTCCTCCTCTGACGGGAGCATTGTTCTCAGGGCCTGAGCAGCGTGCACAGACGGAGACTGGGCGGGGGGGGGGTTTAAACCCATTCACCCCCCACCAACACTCTCACACACTCACACACACACACACACACGCTCATTCACATGATGCCTGATAATGCAGCAGTCACACCAGCCTCAGGCACAAGTCGTCGGACAGAATCTCTGAGGAGTCAGCAGAAATATGACAGACACACAGCAAGTGTAAATCACCCGATCAGAGGCATTCAGCTACTGTCTGTCTGTTCGTTGTGGCAGGAATTCACAGCCTTTGATTTCAGAAACTAACAAGGAGCTTTACAAATAAATATAATGTAAAAAGGTACGAAAAAAATATATTAAATCTGAAAGAATCCAAAATATATTTTAAAAAAGTGGACAAAAGACGACTGAATTAAGTCTAATTAAGTGTCAAATATTTGCTTTAGTTTAATATTTACTGATGGAGTTAGATATTCAGTAACTAGACGTGCTTTGTTGTAGCATGGAAGTATATTAAATTAATCTAATTTAAAAAACGTTTTACAGAATTAACTACTATGACTGTGATAGTCTATGTTATCATTCCTGAGTTGAGTAATAAATAAAGATCCTCATAAAATTCTTATAACACAATCTTAAAGTATTTGATGTAAAATAAGTTTTGCCTTTTATTGCTGAACCATCATTATTACAGATCTTATCTAATAGTATATTAATGCATTCATATTAAGCTCAATAAGCTTTATAAAATACAGAGAACAGATATTTTCTACTTAGACCTAGTTTAATGTGCTGCAGAGTAAAATGTTCAGCACCATCAACATCTGCTACTTAAATAAATGTTCACACAGTATGATTAGGGATTTGCAGGAAGATATTTTTAACAACATGATTCTGTTTTTAAAAAATGTCAAAGCGATATTGTGGAAAATGAAACACACTATTTCAGTAAATAATACCACAGGCCTCCAAACTGTGTTCTGCGCATATCAAAACTACGAAGTGATCACATGAATGAACAGCATCGTGGATTTTCATATTTTAAAAATGGCTGAACAAAGATTTTCTGTATCCAGAAATATTGGTTTGTAGTTATAATACATATGAATTTACATTCATGGCTTCACAGCTTGTCTGAACATTTGAAAACAGATTTGAAATACTATATACCTATTTTCATCTGCTAGGAATTATATAACGTTGTTGATAAAACCATTTTAACACTAATCAGGGTTTTTAATTCCAAATGTATAACTCAGAGAGAATGAGTAAGAGGGAGGTGTGAATCCAGAGAGCAGATGCAGCCTCGACCTCAGTGACCCAGCCTGCCTGCGCTGCCTCTGCACTGTCTCCCTCCCTGCATGTCACGATCCAGGGTTAAGGAGGGATGAGCTCCCCCGAGGCCAGACCGAGGGAGCACCGGTCCCTGAGGGCCACCGGATGGCTGAGCCCAGTGGTGAACCAGTCTGCCACACCGGTGACCGGCTGGGAGGGGGGACAAAGGGGGGTGTAGAGGGTGGGGTTGTATATCTATATCTATATCTATATATATATATATGTGGGCAACAGGGGCAACAGATGCCTGCTGAAGCCACAGGGGACCCCCGTGAAAGCATCCTCCTCCTCCCCCTCCTCCCTCGCTCCCTCTCCTACTGCTGCCCTGCAACTGGTGGTGTCCATATTCGTCCTCAGCGACACATATCACCACTGTCTGTCATGTGAAACTCTGAGGTAGGGGGTGGAGGGTATCGCTCTCACTTTCCCCTCCTGAGCAGTGCAGACTCTCAGTCGAGTCTGGTGCTGCCTCCGTGTTAATCACGAAACCCAGGATCAGACTCGTCAAAAGCCACATCCAATTATATTGTAACCGTTAATTACTCTGTTCTCTAATTGGTGAGGGATTTAATCAATAGGAGGGAAATGAAACTGTTCCTTATGTTGTGGGAGAACCCCAAAAAACACCAAGTCTTTCAATTTCACTTTATAATCAAACAATATATTCCTCAAAATTACACTGGAATGAAAATGGAATAATAACAATTGTTTGTCCATAAATTTAACAATTTAGTTTAAATAAAGTGATTTGCAATGTTTTACTTGTAAAAGAGATTTGAGAGTTTTCTTGTCTGGGTCACATTTATTCACATCTGCACATTTAGGTTGTTGCTTCTGTTAAACTGATTACCACTTATCAGCCACAACATGTTTTTTAAAATTATGGTCAAGTGTTTTTGACTTTTATTCTCATTTTTAAACCTTACAGATTGTTGAAAGTAAATTCAGCCGTGTATTCACATTGATGAGCCACAACAAAACCACTCTAATGTTAAAATAGAGTGGCTGAACGCTGTTGATCTTTTTGGTGAATGTAGTCATGGAGATTTTATGATTAAGAACTATAATCAAACATCAATCGAAACAATAGCAGCAGTATCATTCAACATGCAAAACTCAGGCTCACACAAGGCAAACACTCAGGTAAATATAAAACACAAACACTTACCACACAGCTCCAAGTGAAACAGCAAGCCAGCAAAAAAGTTTTTAAAAAAAACTCTTGCAATGCCTCCTCTCAAATGTCAACTTTGGCCATTTAAGCTGCGAGGCAAGGAAGAAGAAACTTTCCAGAGTTGGTGAGAATAAAATACGCCTGCATGTGCAACAGAATTCCTTTTTAACGCAAAAAAGGGGGAATTTCAGTATCCACCAGAGAACTGGAAAAAAGTAAAGCTGTCAATCCAACTGGGTTTTATAGTGCAGCAG